GGATGATCTTCAATGATTGTGTGTGCAATTGATAGCAGATGTAAAAGTGGTGTGGACTGCCCTCTTTAAATGAGGATTGACAAATCACATTAGAATGCCAAATATCTACATTTGCTTCTCCTCCTCCTAGCATTTTGTGCATTCTGATAATCTGCACATATTCAGCGGATTTTCTGAAGGCAAACACACTAAATTTGACAGACACAATCCTTGGTGCACCTGGTGAGTTGATCAGCTTTGCGTGCGCTATCATGTTCGAAAGTGTTTTTGTACCCGCCTACCTGAAGTGTACAGCTTTAAAACAGGCAGAGGCTGATAGAGCAGCTTTATAAGTTCGTGCTGCTGCTCTAAAGAAAATGCATGCGTTTGAATTAGAGGAGGCAAAGCTCGAGGCAAAAAGAGAACAATTTGAATTGGAAGTGGAAATGAAAGCTGCTGATGCCCAGTTAAAAGTATTTCATTCCACTCAACATGCCACTAAACACACAAAATCTGCTGTTAATCCTTTGCTTCAGATAAATGAATATTTTGCCTCAATGGACAGCCTAAAGGTTGATAATTATGGATTGGATGAGGATGATGATGATGATGAAGAGGATGATTATGATGGCAATGAGGAAAATGATGATGATGAAAATTGGGAAAATGATGATGATGATGATTATGATGAAGAGGAACTGGGAGCCTCATATCCATTAATGAGAAAAAGATCCCAGCATGCCCCCAGTGGCCAATCACGGCAGCTACAGAGACAAATGTCTAGACAGTCTTCGAGGTCACACATGCCTGTTGCTCACCAACAACCCCAACAGCCCATTCAAGATGGTGCTCAGGCCAATATCCAACCAGGTGGAGCTATGATGGAAATAATGAGAAAGCTAAATGAAATCACAGAAATGTTAATTCAAGAACAAAGGTTCTCACTCTTGCCTTCTCGTGAAATACCTGTCTTTAAAGGTGATCCTCTGAATTACATGTCTTTCATGTACGGAGGTGCTCATGCATGCTTTTATTTCGAGTCGCCTAGATTTTTGTAATGCCCTGGGGCCTTATGTATCAACGCTTGCGGCGCAAGAAAACCTTGCGTACGCCAAAATCAGTGCACACGTCCAGATTTATCATCGCGAAACGAGCGTCGGTTCCAGCGCTAATCAACGCAAAGTTAGGAGGTGGTGTAGAAGTTGGCGTTGAGCTGATACTTGCGTTGACTGTGATTCGCACTTTGGCGACGCTGTGTGGCAGTGTTTGGTGACTCACTATGTGACGAGCGTGTACCACATCCCCGTGGCCGAGCAACACGTCGCCCCACATGACGAACCAGCAGCAGACGGAGGGATGCGAGCTGATCCCTGCCGGGCCGCCGTCCTCGCGCGGGAGAATCTCATCGCCACAGTGTGAATGGGTAAGAAGTGAATACACAGTTCAATGAGCCAAATTAATTTATTTTCGCCACCAGACGCTCGAGGACATTTACGAGCCGGTCCAGCCGCTCGTTGATCCCCGCGATCCCCCTGATGATTTCTTCCTGCGATTGCAGGACCCCCTTCGCGAGGACCCTTCCACTGCGTCCGGGTGGTCCAGCGGAAGCGCCGCGGCTGGTGGACGCTCCACCGCTTGTCAGCGCGCTGGTGCTGATGCTGGTGCTGGTGCTGGGGCCGGGGGCCGGGATGGCCCGAATGCCGCTGGTCCTGGCCGACGACTCCGAGCCGGCGGACGGGCTGCCGCGGGCCGGGGTTCCGCAAGCCGGCGACACGGCCGACACATTGATTTCTGTGACACGATAAAAATATTGGTTTATTTCAATTTCTGCTTCTGTGTATCTGTTGCGTTTACATCTCTCTCCACGGTATCATAGGTAATGTAATCCAGTATTTAGAGGTCAGTTATGCACATTTCAGTTCTTTATTGCATAAAAAGTTATCGAAAAATGAAGTTAAGGGCGAAGTATAAATCACGTCTAAAAATAGACTGAATCCCGACGTTGAAATGAAGTATAAACTTAGACTAGATGTCTAATATACGTCTTTTGCTCAGTGGGATGGCAAAGCATGTGGACATTTGTGTGACACGCCACTTACCCTATAATAATCGCCACCACCCGCTGCTCAAACGGCCGGTACTCCTCTGGAGGGCAGCTGTACACCGCTTGACCTCCACCTTGAGGTCCGACCACTTCTTTTTAATGTCCGCGGGGGTGCGTGTCTCGGAACCCACCGCGTTCACCCTCTCGCAAACTTTCTCCCACTCCAAGCGTTTTCGTTTTGCACTGACGCCACTGGACAGGCTGCCAAACAAAACACGCTGTCGCTCCTCCACCTCCGCCACCAGCACCTCCACCTCGCACGCCGTAAATTTAGTTTTTCTTGTCATTTTGTCTGCGTGCGAGGACAGGGAGACCCTATTTAAATAAATCTGCATATTTATGTGAGGGCGTAACGGGGGCGGGCCCAGTCACTCCAATATCTGCGCTCAATTCCACGCTGGTTGGGATTTATCAAGGAAACACACGTGGATCTCGGCGCCCGCACACATTGATACATACAGATTTTTTTCAGCGTGACGGACCTTGTGTGCGCACGTTTCTGGTATGAGTTCCACGCAAGTGTTGATACATGAGGCCCCTGGTAGCTCTGATGTAGACCCAAGAACCAGACCTAAACAAAGGAAGACAATTGATTGAAAAAGAAATGGAAAGATTCAAAGACACACCAAAGGTACACAACCCCTCTCTGGATGAGCTGGACAGAGCAGAGATGGCTGTTGTGCAACATTGTCAAAAGTGAGGATTTCAAGAGGAAATCGAAACATTAAAGAAGGGAAGTCTGAACGTTTGAAAGGACAGTTCAATCTACAAGCTTGACCCTAAACTTGACCAGGAGGTATTAAGAGTGGGTGAGAGATTAAGCAGAGCAGCCATGCCAGAAGATGCAAAGCACCCTACTATCCTCCCAAAGGACCATCATGTGTCAAAGCTCATTCTCGAAAATATCCATCAACAAGTAGGACACTGTGGGAGAAACCACATGCTTTCTTTGCTTAGACAAAAAATATTGGATTCCATGTGCTAATTCACTTTCAAGAAAGATCATTTCAGAATGTGTCGTATGTCGATGTCTCAACCAATCCGTTGGAGAACAGAAAATGGCAGACCTTCCAAAGCAGAGAATAACCCCTGACCTACCACCCTTCAGTCATGTAGGAGTCGATTACTTCGGACCCATTGAAGTTAGAAGAGCCCGAGCCACTGTCAAGCAATATGGCATCATCTTTACATGCTTGGTGAGCAGAGCAGTACACCTTGAAGTGGCTCATTCCTTAGACACAGATTCATGTATCAATGCTCTAAGGCGTTTTATAGCACAAAGAGGACAAGTGATTGAAATATGGTCAAATAATGGGACTAGTCTCATAGCCACTGAAAAAGAACTGAAGGAATCTTTGAAGGCATGGAATTTGAACAAAATAGAACGAGCTCTCCAGCAGAAAGGAGTCAAATGGACATTTAATCTACCCGCCGGCGCCCACCATGGTGGAGTATGGGAACGATTGATCCGTTTACTCAAAAAGATCCTGCTGTCAGTCACCAAACAGCAAGCTCTAGATGATGAAAGTCTCCATACAGTTATGTGTGAAGTGGAAGCCATACTTAACAGCCGCCCACTCACGACAGTTTCAAGTGACTCCAGTGACCTGGAAGCACTCACACCGAATCATCTGTTACTGCTTAAGAAACAGCCGATCCTTCCACCAGGAGTGTTCCAGGCCCATGATGTCTATGCAAAGCGTCATTGGAGACAAGTGCAATACCGGTCAGATCTATTTTGGACAAGATGGATAAAAGATTACCTACCTCTTATGAACGTACGTCAAAAGTGGAACCGCATCCACAGAAACTTTAAAAAGAGAGACATGGTGATCATAGCTGACACAAATGCACCAAGAGGATCCTGGATGCTGGCTAGAGTTCTGGAAACGATACCAGACTCAAGAGGACTTGTGAGAAGTGTGCATCTTCAGACTAAAACCAACATACTTGAAAGGCCAATCAGCAAGATTTGCCTGCTGGTGCCCAGCACCAATTAAAGAGGTACTGAAGACTCGACAGGCCTTTACACCACGCCTGTTTTCCCCCTCACAAGTATTTTTGTTTGATTATGATTATTGTATGGCTCCAGTTTTGTTTTGATTTTGTATTGTTATTAGAGCGTGCCCATAACAATAGGGGCCGATTATGTTGGAGCCATTCTCAGTTTAGTTTATTTTTTGGTGAAATGTCACCCCCTTTGGCCACCTGAGAAATGGCACCATGATTTTTCTATTAATCAGGCATCAGCTCGGCGCCAGTAGTAGAAAAACAGATTCTCAACTGCGAGGCACTGCACCTACACATACACAGCGCGTATTTTTGAACGAACAAAAGAAAGACTGTACAGAATTATTTTGAGCTTTATTGAACCCTTATTCAGCGCGTGTTTGTTTTGAAACCTTTTTGTTTAAGTTGTGTGGAGCCTATTTTGTTTCACTTGTTTGCCCCAGTTTTGTTTGAAACTTTGTTAGACAATCACAACGAATTCCACCGCCTGCGTTCACCATCAAGCATCACCCAACAACTACAAAACAGTGAGTACAAGGCAGCCCACATCACAGGTGCTAGCGTGTTAAAACTTAAAGACTGTATTACTGGCGTAGATGGGGAAATTGGCCCTATTGGCCCTATAGATAATACAAACTAAACTAAACCTAGAAATCCAGCCTGAAAAAACAAAATAACTGCGATCAATAAATAAATAAATTTAAATAAAAACAAAAGAAAATTTCAATACTATCATAACCTATAATGATTAATGTCATGCTGTTCTATTTTAAGAGATAATCCTGAAAGCACAACAATGAAATGTCTTATAGCAGACCGTCAACCCCATTTACTTCTGAAGAACCCTGAATATGACTCACTCCTCTCACCTCTAAATTCAACATATTCGTAATAAAACAAGAAGCACCTTTGGTACCTCTTTTTGTATGATCATGAAAAAGCTACCATAGTAACCTAACAGCAATTAACATTTACATCATCCCCCCAGAACATTTTTGTGCCATACAGATATTTTATTAACCATCACCCCCTTCTCCTCCTCCTCCTCCTGCTTAGCCTCTCTTCCTATGTGGACCAGCCAGCAAAAAGGAACGTGCTATTTTGGTCTTGCTCATAGAAAAATGTTTGCACAGCAAATCAATGGCCACCCAACCAAACAAACATGATCGCTTAGCAAATATTTGAGCATGCAGAAAGACTGTAGGTAGGTCTGCAGCTCTGGGCATACCATCCCTAAAACCCAGGAATAATTAGCTTACTGTGCTGTTTGCCTTTTGATTTAGCATGAGCCAAAAAGTACCACCTGTCATATCAGTTTAGTTGGATGAAACGCCCTGAAGCTGTGAATCCTTGCTTTTGAATTCAATGAGAGATATTGACTGAAACCCTTAAATTCGGCTGGAGTGATGATTTTCTCTAAATCCTGCTGCACCACTCAGACCTTCATAAAAGTCTTAAAGCAGTGAGATACTGAGGATCTTTTACATAAATGTGCATTAAATCATTCAGTCAAAACATGCAGTCTGTATAAAGGAGTGTCAATAGCTGTGTCTCCAGTTGGACAAAGAAACTAGGGCATACTTAATATGGTATCACCTCAATCAGAGAGATTTTTTCGAAGTTTCAGGAACTTGAAAGGAAATTCAAGTGGAAAATCACAAACTTGAGCGGTATGAGATTTAACGGTTTTTGCCTCTTTTTTTCTCCTTTTTTCTCCCTTACTCTGTCTGGGTCATTCCTTTTGATTGTCACTATGCAGCATTCAGGGCCCTTCATGTGATTGGTGCTAAGTGCCTTGGGTTTTGTGGTCACAGGCAGCATGTGGGGAATGTGCTCAAAAATATACACAGCCTTACAGATTGGCTCCTCCTGTGAGTGAGCTTGAGGGGGTAAAGGCCTGGGATTGATTACGATTGTTAATCAGGAATCAGTTCGATACTCTCAAAAAAAGGACCCTTCATCAGAGCCAGCACTCCATCACATCTGGACTTTAACCACAGCGTCAGAGCAGCTGGTCACTGCGAGAACCATTCTGTTACCTTTTTAAGAGTTGGTTAGTGACAGCAAATATGCAAATATGGTGTTTACCCACTTAGTGTTCCTGTATTGATATAATGGACATTGAAATGTTGCCATTAAGAGCTTCAGTAAGTAATTCACACACCCTCTGCTGCGGGACTTTAAATATATAATTCATTTACTATTTCCTCAATGTTCATAATTTCATTCATCTAATTTAATGATCAACTGCAGCCACACAAATGCATTATATATCATATAATTGCTATGTAAAGTATCAGCAGTGCTGTTAAGTGAGGGGAAGTTACTACAGGAATCCCTCATCACAGAAACGCCGGTGTATGAGCATACAGTGTATTTATTTCACCTATTTCATTATTTCTTCTTCAGGTTCAGCTCTCACAACAGATGTGGAAGGTTTTAAAGACTGCATTTAGTTCAGTAAGGGTTTAACCTTAGGATGGAAATGGGAGACCTGTTATTTTCTGAGGTGCACTCAGGCAGTTTGAGGGACGAGGCAAAATAAAGAAATAAGATTCCTTTACACCCTGAAGCACAGATGTACAAGAACTTGTGATTAATAAAGATTTGTCTGTAGCAGCATTTTGATTACCAACTTCAAGCTCTTCAAACTCTTCACATTGTTGTCTCTCCGTCTCATTCAATGATCATAACCTTGTTTCATAGCAGAACCCAGGTTTATTGCTTCTAATGCTTAATTTCCTTAGAGGTGGAAATATAAAAGAAAAACACAAAATTATGAATACATAATCAAAAACAGAAGCTCACATTCAAGTAAGATTTAATCTTAATCTGTTATTTCCACAGGGTTATTTTAAAACACAGTAAATCTATGTAAATTAAATGAGAGAATGAATTCAATCAAAAATAAAATTGAGGGGAAAAAAGTATTCAGGATTCAATTTTGTGCTCAAACCTTGCATGTCAGCTAAATATATATTGCACATTACCTACTGGAAGAGCCTTAAGAGAGCACCTTTTTTAACATGCTTTTTACTGGATAGACAACTAGAGGGCCATTTTTTTCAGTGGCTACTCCTTAAGTCTGATTGGCAACCCTGGCGGCTGGTTTGAGATCCCAAAAACTGATTGGCTTGTTAGTGGCAGCATTTATATTGAAATTGACCAGGTTGTGTTTTAACCATAGACTGCATATAGAATGGGCAACATCTAGCTCTTCTAACACTGCCTGATGACTGGTTGTAGTATAGGTCATAAACCCTGCCTCCTCCAGCAAAATGAATGGAGCTGTGGACAAACTTTTGAAATGTCATTACATGCAATATAACCTTCTCCCCATACTTTATAATCTTACATGATACTATATGATTGTCCATGCTATATACAGTCTATGGTTTCAACTAAGTTTCTCAGTGTTTCAGTGTAAGACATGTTCATTTGTTGATAATGTGATTGGTGACTTGGTGATTATATACATAGATATGTTGTTGTTGTTGTTTTCGTCTCTGAAGTAATAGTAGAGAAAACCCTGCTGTATGGAGTCATGTTTATTGTTGTAATGTTAATGTCTGTGCCCTAGTTTGGCCATCCAAATTTAAAAAAAATAAGAAAAAAAAGTTTGGATACGCAACCACATCTGTTTCATACTTTGTCCACCGGGAGGGCATCCACACTGAATGACTGTCCAGTTGTTGAAAAGAGCACAGAGCTTGTTATGTGTCACCCTTTGAAAGAGCAGCGACTGTAGCATGTACAGTAAGAATAAGAATAATCTTCCCTTCGGGGATCAATAAAGTTAGTGTCTGTTGTCGCATTTGTCATGTCTCAAAAGTCATGTCTCAAAAGTCATCTAATATTTATAAAAGAGTTGTAAAGTCTGATGGCTGTCGGTACAAAAGATCTTCTGAAACTTTCTGTCCTGCAGAGAAGAGAAAGGAGTCGTCCACCACCATTGGCCCTTGAGTCCATGAAGGTGTTATGAAGCAGGTGATCCATGTTCTTTAGAACAGTCTCCACCTTCCTTAGTGTTCATCTCTCCACCACATCCTCCACTGGGTCCATCTTAAATCAAACCATGGAGCCAGCCTTTTTCACCAGTTTGTTCAGATGTCTTGTATCTTTGTGTTTCTTTCCTCCCCAGCAGACTGCAGCGTAGAACAGAACACTTGCTACCACAGACTGATAAAACATCTGTAGCATCTTACTGCAGATGTCTATTAATCGTATGTACACCTGGGTATTTATATGATGTCACCACTTCGATGTACACTCCACAGATGTTCACTGGCTGAACAGGGGGTTTGGATCTGCAAAAGTCTATGATCATCTCCTTTGTCTTTGAGGTTTTGAGGAGGAGACAGTTTTTGTGACTCTAGTCTCTGGAGGCTCTTTTCAAATCTCTGAATTCAGCTTCTTGTCCATTTCTGATACATGCCACGATAGCAGTGTCATTTGAGTATTTCTGGATGTGGCAGGACTCAGTGCTGTATTTGAAGTCTGACGTGTACAGTGTGAACAGGAATGACGCCAGCACTGTCCCTTGTAGAACCCCTGTACTGTTCATTAATGCCCCAGAAACACAGTTCCCCAGCCTGACAAACTGTGGCCTTCCTGTCAGGTAATCTGTGATCTAGGAAACACAGGAAGGATCTACTCCCATCTCTGTGAGCTTGTCTTTGAGTATGTTGGGTTTGATGGTGTTGAATGCACTTTGAAAGTTAAAGAACATGATCCTCACATAAACTCCAGGTTCCTTCAGATGAGACAGGGCACGATGAAGCATGTAGAGGACAGCATGATTCACTCTAATGTGTTCTTTGTATGCAAACTGCAGGGAATCCAGTTTGTCTTTGACCTCAGACCTCAGAAGGCATAGAATCAGCCGCTCCAGGGTTTTCATGATTTGTGAAGTGAGGACCACTGATAGTTATTGAGTTCAGCAGGACATTTTGTTTTTGGTACTGGCACAATGCAGGATGTTTTCCACAGAGCAGGTACCTGCCCCAGCTGTAGACTCAGGTTGAAGATACTGTGGAGAGGTCAGTTCTGCAGCACAGTCTCTAAGCAGCCTTGGTCACACACCATCTGGACCAGCTGCCTTCCCAGGACAAAGTCTTCCCAGCTCCATCCTCACCCCTGTTTCTGTGACAGACAAGGACTGGTGTCAGAGAAGGGAGGTAGTTGAAGTGGTTGAGAAATTTGAATGAGATGGAGGAGGAAGGGGTGAAGTTGTCGTGAAGATCTGTTGCGGAGAGGAAGGTGGAGCAGCAGTGGAAGAACAGGTTGAGTTTACCAGCTCTTTCCAGATCACCCACCACTGGCTGTCATCCAGAGATGGTACTGATTCCTCTCCACACTTCACAGATGTTTCTGTGTGGCAGATTCCTCTCTATCTTCTATTTGTATTCCAGCTTTGCCATCTCCAGTCTCCTCTTCAACTCTCGTTGCACTTGTTTGAGTCATTCTTTGTCACCATCTTTAAAAGCTTTGTTTTTCTGGTTAAGGATTGGTTTTATGTCACTTGTGATCCAGGGCTTGTTGTTGGGGAAACAGTCCTTGTCGGTGTGACTGTGTCTCTACAGAAGTTGATGTATTCGGTAAAGCAGTCAACCTGTCTGTCAATGTTCATACTGTCGTCATCTGTTTCCAGAAAACACAAAAACTCAAAAAAGAATTGTAATTTCCAAAACACCTTTTCAAGCATAAACCATCAACTTTCCATCTCTGCCCACAGAGCACAACACCCCTCCCACAGCCCACACTTGGCTGAAAGCCTGCACATTCTCTATCATTTGAAAGTAAGAAAACTCCACCCTTAGTCTGGCCTTAAGCAAACCCTGCAGAGCTGCCAAGGGATTCTCAGCACCAGAGTCCAGGACCTTTTTCCTCTAGGTCAGCCAGATGGCCAACTTTGCAAAGCCCAAGAGAAAGTTTATCAATGTGTGTTCAGCTTTTTTTTCTTGGCAGTGTACTTTGGGCCATAGATAAAGAGTCCAAAGGAAAACATCGAGTCTGCGAACAGAACAAGAAGCCCTTTTCCACCCCAGGACAGATGTGCGCTCTGTGTCTGTTCATAGCTATCTCACCATGTACGATCCTCCACTGAAGGTCTGCAGTCGGTTTTTTAATGGGCAGTTTGTGCAGGGACCGCCCGCTGCCTATGGGGGGTAACGTCTGGACCAAATAGTCCAGATGTTTCCCCCAAATTCCAATCTGGCTGCAAAGACTGTGTTGTTTTGGACTCTAACCCATGTGTACTGTCTGAACTGAGGGTGTTTGATTCTGAAGGTATCTAGCAGATCACAGTGGGAGATAACCAAGCTCAGAGCTCAGGATGAAGGTGGGTGAGGTTCCTCTCATATCCGGTCTGTGGTGAAGTCCGGGGTGCATTTAAAGTCCCCACCAAGGATAATTTGGTCCTGATGGAAGAACATCAGCTCACCTTTCAGCTGACTATAGAAAGACACCCTTTCTGATTCAAGGCTAGGAGCATAAACATTAGCAAAACAGAACACACACTCATCAATTTCTGCCCTAGCCAGCAGCAGCCAGCCAGACACCACCTTAGGTGAGCATATTAGCATGAGCATTATCTTAATAATAAAAAAAAAAATTGCTACACCAGCACTGGGGTTTATGGTAGAATAGTTTCTGTCAACCCAGCCATGGCAATAACTTCAGTCAGTCTTATCTGACTGATCACTGTGATCAACCCTTTTCTGACCACGTACTTCAGTTACAAGAGCTTTTATATTTCCGTCTCTCCCACCGTTTATATTAAGAGACCCTTTTTTAATACTCCTTGTGGAGAAGTGAGACAGGAAACGCAGACAGACAGAAATCAGCAGGACTCTGTAGAGAGAAGACACCCTGTGATGCATGATCATTTTTATTTCCTGAGTTTATGGAGAGTTTTACTTTTCTCTGAGCTGTGATGTGTTTTTTAAATCTGAACCTTTTCATTTCATCAAGGAGGTCAAAACCTACCTGTTTCTTAAATATGATGACTGACCTGATGAATCTCTCTGTGTCACTGCAGTAATCGCTCACCTTTACTACTTTTTTGTTGTATCGGTCATCTATGTACCACATGATTTCCTGTAAGGTCTGTGCCCCTTTTTGAAGCTTCAGTGTTATCTGAGTCACAGTCCTCCTCCATGTCCTCTTACTCACATGCAGCCTGACTGCACACTACCTGAGCCTCACCTGTGATCTCACTGATGTGAACTGCCTCCCCACCGTTTGGCTGTACTTCATCAGCTACTGCAGACAGAGAGCTGCTGAGGTTTACTGCAGCCACAGACCACTCATCTAACTTAGCTGACAGAGTTTCAGCTCAGCTGTTGCTGCAGACTGAGAGCTCCTCATATCTGCTTCAGCTCTTTCTACCTGCTGGTCTGCAGCTGAGCTCTGAGTTGAAAACACTGTCTCATCATACTGTATTCTAGAATTACAAGAAACTACAACACTGTTATAATCACCAGGTCTAATAGTGGTTAACTCTAGCTTTATGTTATTAATGTTGATGAGGTTGATGTTAATGTCTGCAGCAACAGTCCAGAGGAACTGAAAGAGAAGAAGGAGCTCAAGGCATGAGGCAGACAATCGTAGATGGTGCAGCTGGGGTCAGTCAGGTCCACAACGACCAACGCTCCAGAGGAACCTAAGAGACTGGGGAGCTCTGGGACACTCAGATTTCTGGTTAGTATCTTTAATGGGACACAGAGATCTAAAGGAGAGAGAGGGACAAACTGGAGCTCAGTGGGCCAGTTCCCCCGGCAGTCTAAACCTAAAGCAACATAACTCAGAGCTAGTTCAAACCTAATCAGCCCTAACTATAAGCTTTATCAAAGAGGAAAGTTTTAGGTCTACTTTTGAAAGTTGAGAGGGTGTCTTTTGAAGACAAAAAACTTTTGATACAACAAGCAGACCTGCAGACTGTGAGCGTAGTGGTCTATGGGGAAAGGTATTACAAGCTCCTTAACCACTTGTGCCCGCAACTGGGCGGGCAAGACCATGGCATGAGCCTCTTCCGGTCATCTCCAGCCTCTAGCTTCACAAGGACGAGATGAGACAACAGATTTCTCTCTGATTTTGCTACAGGGTGGGTTAGAGCCAGGTGCGTCACTAGACCTAATACTGTACTGGGGCACACCTGGGGCACAAAAAATTCATGTGAGCGCGCAAAGTGTGCGAGAAAAAAACATATTCAGCACTTATTTATCATAAAAAATCCCACCCTTCCTTGTGACAAAAAAGTCACCTGACCAAAAAGCATTCTGTAAGAAAAAGTACGTTTTTTGTTTTTTTCCTCATATGGGAGGTTTTGTGTTTCTGCCATCGATATTCAAAATCAAATGACTCAGGGGCAAAAAAAGAAAAAAAAAACATGATTGGGACATCATTCATTGATAGTCAGCTCACCTCCGCTCTTGCTCGTCAACTTTCATCTCTCCCTCACCTCTTCCAGCACTCTGTTGTTCCACTTTGTTTGGACAGACATGAAAATATATATATAAAAAATGTTTTTCTTCTTGAAGATAGGCCATTTGAGAACCACTGCACCATCCATAGGCTATATCTGTCAACTAACACAAGCTTACTCAAAATCATCATTGATGCAGAGGTCCAGAGCAGAACCAGCAGACCATAACCAACATTATGTTTCATGCTGATGAAACTCACTGGAAATTCCCCCCACAGCTCGTACAGCAAATTGATATGGTTGTCTTGATAAAAGGAATAACTTTAGCTAACTTAGCATTAATTTAAGACAGACTTATGTTGCCTAGCTAGCTAGGACTTCACTTACCTCTCTCATTCCTCGCTGCTTTATCCCTGCTGCGGGCAAATAACTTTCTGATATCCATCTAGGAGTTACAGTTCAAGTCAAATCAAAATCAAAATAATATATTTAACAAGTTGTTGTCGGCTAACGTTACCTACCTCACGCAGTGATTCTCATCGCCTGCCTCTCTCTCTCTCGCTCTCTCAACTTCGAGTTGACACGGAAGTATTATCAACCGAAGTCGCTACACGTGAATAAATTACCATATTAATTAGCCATGTGCACATTGTTTATGTGGAGTGAATACGGTAGCACTGATTTACCATACTAAATAGTATGTGCGCTGTAGTCGATGCTATGTAGACTTAATACTCTGAAGGGATTTTTTTTTATTGGTGAAATTTTTACTGGGGCACTGCAGATCAATACTGGGGCACGTGCCCAAGTGAAATTTGTCTGGTGACGCCGCTGGTTAGAGCATGTCTAAAATGTTGTGTTTGAATATTTCACTGACCTATATTAATAATTTTTTAAGATTTTAAGCACTCTATACATGTTTAAACACGCTGCCGACATGAGCGACTCCAGTAGAAAAGAGGAAGCTGAAGAAGTCGTCACGTAACTCCACCCCACTATCATATATCAAAACACATCAGGACATCCTCCTCTTTCAAATGAGACCAGTCTTACCTCACTATGACGTATATATACCCCTCCAGCTTCACAATGGTAAGCAGGTAAAGTTTTCACAGGAACAGAAAAAAGAAAAAAATTACTCCATTTTCATCATTGTCCGCAGCGAAATTAGCCAGTAAACTTTGTTTTTAGTCTTTTTTTCCCCCCACCAAGTTCCCCACAAGCTAATGCAACAAACATTTCCTTCTGATTGAACCACAAAAATGCGTCTCAAGCTGACAGACATTTCAGTCTGGCCAACCATAGCCCAAAGTTTACTGTCTGTACCTGCCCATCTATACAGCGGTTGGGTGAATCAATTCAGGTGAGACTGTAGTCGATTCATTCTGCCAATGTAAGGCTGAGGGGTTGATCCAGGTAATCGCCATCGATTGGCTGAGATACAAGCCTGCGCATGGACGGAATACACGGCTAGTTGACTCACGTGTTTTGATGTTGCAACCATAGTAACTACCGCCACGGCCATCTTGATAAAAGCCGGGCGGCTGTAAGTGTTTATGACACCTGAGTGAAGTCCCATTTGTCCAAGATCATAATTTTATGAACTATATCAAAGTCATAAGAACAAGACATGATAGACAGAAATAAATATCAATAAATAAACTACAGAGATTATTATAAATAGAACAATGTGCAAAGCACCTGCGTTTTACTCCAGATTTCATAATCTATATTTCAAAATCATCTCATATGTTTTTGATTATTCATATCTTTTGTATTTTAATCCATTAGAAATAATTGCCTTGTGCTGTTCACAATGGTAGAAAATATTATTGTATACAACATACATGATTTAGAACTGCCTAAAATTGTGTGGTAGTCCTTGTGGAAAAGAAACAATCAGTAATTAACATAAAAATCCAATTTTTTCATTTAAAATGGCAATTTGGCACGATTTTGGCACCAAAACTCTCCAAATGATGGCCGCGTGAGACTTTTCTGACTAAAATGGCTGTTAAATTGTTATACATCATTTCTATGACACCAAACGTGGAGAGATTGCAGGTTAGATGTTGTAGAACACATCCAATGAATATAATTCCAACTCACATTGGGTTTACTTGTACTTTTAACAATATATATTTTTCTTTTCTAGTGTCCAAGTGGTTAAGATTTGATAGAGCCTGGCCATTAAGAGCTTTGTATGTCAGAAGGGAGCCAATGAAGATGGGCTAAGACAGGAGAGATGGGCTCTCTTCTTCTAGTGCAAGTCAATACCCAAGCTGCTGCATTTTGGACCAGCTGTAGAGTCCTTGAAGACATACTAGAGCAGCCTGATAAAAGAGAATTACAGTAATCCAGTCTAGAGATAACAAAAGCACAGACTAGTTTTTCTGCATCGGTCTGACACAGCATGTGTCTGATTTTTGAGATATTGCGCTGGTGGATAAAGGCTGTCCAAAAAATTGGTTGAATGTGGGAGTTGAAGGACAAATTCTGATCAAATAAAACTCTCAGATTCCGTACAGTGGGACTGGATGCCAGACTGATGCCATCTAATGTAGTTATATTGTTGGAAAATGTCTCTGTAAGGTGTTTAGGACCAAGAACAAGAACTTCAGTTTTGTCTGGGTTGAGCATCATAAAGTTATTGGTAATCAAAGAATTTATATCTGTGAAACAAGCGTCTAGTTTGGTTACCTGATTTGTTTCTTCTGGCTCAGATAGATAAGTATAACCAAGTGTCATCTACATAACAGTGAAAATTAACCAAATGTTTCTGTGAGGGCTGTGTTAAGGTTGAACCTAAAATGTACACCAGACCGAGGAAAGGTTTAACAGGTTTATTGATCATGAAATGTGGGGAGTGAGTGAGTCCAGAGTCCAAGGGAGATGAAGGTGAATCCAGGTGTGGGAGAGTGCTGGGTGGTGGGCTGGTGAGAGGCACGGAGGGAGGCACTGGAAAAAGGAGAGTAGAACGAAGGTTAGACAAGCAATCCAAAAAACACCTAAAATTTGGTACGTTTCGCTAGAACCACTAGGAAGCATTGAGAGGGCTGTGAGCGTTGAGTCGATAATGCTCTGGTGCTGAGGCTTGTGTCTGAAGCAGTCTTAGAGCCAGCTTGAAGAAGGTGAGCACACTCAGCCTCTGGAGACAGGTGAAGTGACCACACACAACCTACACAGTAGTGATGGGCACGGCAGTTCTTTTAGATGTACTGAATCACTAGAATCAGTTCACTTGAATGAAAGGAAATCGTTTGTAAATCATGATGTTTTAAGTGTACTGTCCAGTGGTATGCTATTTATCTGGTCAACTTGGTAAATTGGGCTCAGTGAGTGATAAGTTCACTGAACATTTACCCCACAGTACATTCAGTGAAGAATTCACACTGAACATGCACCGTTCCCTTGCAAATCGCCACAATAATAGGATCAGACAGTCACGCATTTGTCAAACTGCGGGTTTTATACACTACTTGTTACATGCTGTGTCCTACTGTATGCAAGTTGTTTTGGTGGCAATTAAGCAGAGTAAAAAAATAAGTTCGTTTTTTTTTGGAGGTACAGTTGAACACAACACATACCTATCTCCCTCCATCGCTCCTGTCAAGGAGCGTTGGAGGGAGGCTTTGTCAAACTGCAGGTTTTATACACTACTTGTTACATGCTGTGTCCTACTGTATGCAAGTTGTTTTGGTGGCAATTTAGCAGAGTAAAAAAATAAGTTCGTTTTTTTTGGAGGTACAGTTGAACACAACACATACCTATCTCCCTCCATCGCTCCTGTCAAGAGCTTGCCACAGCTGGTGAGTCTCATTCTCTTCTCATTACTGCCAGCCTAACGTTTAAAGTTTGTTTAATTGGGAACTAAATCTGTCAAACCAACGGGGAACAGTGGTGGCCATGAAAGTGTATCCCTCAGAGCAAAATGATTCCTGATTCACTTGAGGGAGTGATTCAGTTCAGTACGTTCACTTTGAAGATTTGGTTCTTTTGGACGAATCATTTACGAATGACACAACACTACCACACAGGACAAGGAATCAATCCAAATAAAATGTGCAGAAGTCCATGCCCACCACAGTTTCCTCATCGTTAGATATTGGCCTTTAGTTAGTTAAGGTGCCTGAGTCAAGACTAGTTTTTTTTTTATTTTGAGGCAAGGTTTAATCAGCGCAGTTTTAAAAGACATATACTGTTAAGATAGACATATTGATCAGGTTAAGTAAAGCTATACTAATTAAAGGAACAGCTTCCTTCAGCAGCTTAGATGGAATTGAGTCTAAAAGACATGTTGATGGTTTGGCTGCTAACACTACTGAATTCAACTCAGGAAGGTCAATAGATACAAAATTACAAAGTTGCACCAAAGGCCTTAAGGGCTTCTTCACAATTTCAGAGTTATCTAAGATAAAAACACCAGCTGAAGGCAAGAGATTGGTCATTTTAGCTCTTATTTTTGGGACTTTATCATTAAAAGAAGCTCAAGAAGTCATGGGCTAAGTCAGGGCTAAGGGAATACAGTTAAAGCCAAAATTATTAGCCCCCCTATGAAATTTAAAGTTTTTTTTCCACAAATTTCTTAAGTGCTGTTCAACAGATTAATGATATTTTGTACAGCTTTTTCCAAATATCATAGTTTT